AAGACTGGGGCTAGTGAGGCACTTGCCTCGGACACAAAAGCCAAAGAACTTGCTAGTCAAGATAAATAAAATTCTAATAAAATTTTTAAAACTCAAAATTAATGCAAAAATCCATACTGAACAGAGTAAATAAAGTAAAAACAGAAAACTTTACTTAGGGAACTGAAACTTGAACTTACATTCCCCAAATTGCCAATAAACGACTAAGCGACCATTGCATAATTAAATTTGTAGGAAGAATTAGATTTGAAAAACAAAGGGCATATTAATTTTTATTCAGTGAATTTACATTCTATTAAAGTAAATGAAATGAGTGACGTTTCAAAGTTTGTAATAACTGAGGTAATTTTAAAAGTAGCATAAAAATACAATTTATAATTTAACAAAATTCTCAAACTTGAAGTTCATCTCCATTTAATTATCAGTGTTATTAAACTTCATATGAAGTTACAAGAGTGAAATCTTCCTTTGATTGCATTGAAAAAGGAAGAAGACACCTACTATTGGTCATTGGCAAAGAAGTGATTACGAATTTCAGTTCTAGATAGTAAAGCATCTATACTCAGTTAGCCTTGTGTTTTGGTGAAATCCTACAAAACAGCACTGACAATCAGGCACTGGGTCAGAAACTTGTCAGTAAGAAGACCACTCCTGGGCTTTCTCCCCCCAACGCTGCCACCTTTTTAGACTCTCTGGAGCTTCACATTCATTTTCTAAATGTTTTTAACCCAATGTCTGTGAAATCTTTATTGCTCCCCAGATGATGACATCTGATCTGAATGTAACCACACACCTCTTTGCTCAGCAGTATTTGTCACAAACCATTATAAATTATCATGCTGATAGGTTGCATTGCTGGGAAACCGGAAAAGTTCCATAAATTCTAACTACTGTATCAATGACATTCTTGTTTATTATGCAGGTATAAAGTTTTACGAGATTCAAGATGTCTGCCTGACCACCGAAGAAAACTTAAATGGAGTTAGACCTGACTAGCTCCATGTAAACACTGAAAATCATTACAATGTACAATGAACACTGCTTTCTGAGATACACTCAGAAAAGGCAGGTCACTTTCTTTTCTGCTTTTAACTGTGCTTTGACATTTCACAAGCATGGAGGATTTTGCTGGTGCAAACAAGAAAAATCATCATTCTGTCCATTTCCTTAACACCTTCTCATCCTCTTAGAGCATTCTCTTAGCCCCCTCTCTTATATCAACATAACAATAAAACCGGGCAATATATCTAGCTAGAAATCCTAGCACCAAGTTAGCCCTGCAGACAGATGCTCTACTTACTGCTCTGCTGAATGACTGATTCAGCACTTTGTTCAATAAAAGAATTCAGGGAGTTACAATATTAAATTTTTGATGCTTATTTGTAATAAAGCCAGACTCCATGGTGTATTAAACATAGATTGTTGCATTTTAAAACTGTCAGGCACAACTTGCATATTCATTTTCTCTAAGGAAACAGCCCCCCTTGATATGTACTGTAAAAACTTATTGTAAGGTTAAGTCCATAGTTTATGTAAGTACTGGGTCAGTCTTGGTGTTATTCACATGAAAAGTTGTGATAAGTCACATAACTAAATAAAATACCTTTTGTTGTATTGTTAAAATTACAAAATAGTTTTTATTTAATTACAAATAAAACAGTAAAATTTAAATAAAATAGTTACTTCTACCAGAACTCATCTATTTAATTACTCAGCCATCCCTACATCTAATGGAAAAATAATTGTTTATTTGGGTTTCAACGATGTTTCTCAATAAGCAAATGTGCTAAGGAACCAATTTCTCAAGATTTTACATGGTGAAAGTTAACTATACAAATACTGACAATTTCAAGAGAAAACGCAGGATGTATTATATTCAGATCATCTCATTACTGAATCAATATATTTAGTTTAATAAATGCTTAGTTTCATATTTCCAAATGTTCTAACAATCACCAAGTTTTTAAAGATATCATAAAATTGATAACTTCCTTTGAGGGGAGCTTTTAACTTTTCAAGGGGGGTCTCACATCCACTACTTCATTATCTACTACATGTAACTTTATGACATTGGTACAACAGTACTTTTTTACTGCTTTTAGACATATAATATAGACATATTATATACCTCAAGACAACAGCTTGTTCTTAAAAGGAATGATAACTAAAAGCTTACCAGCTCTCCGAATGTGTTTTTCAAACACAATTTTGGAAGTAGCCCAAATGTAAATTACAAAATAAATAAATAAATAAATAAACAAATTAATTAATTAATTAATTAGAAAACCACCAGAACCCCCCAAATTATGTTTTTTTCACATCTAACATAAACTTTTGAAGTCTATGAATTTGTTTTTCCCAGAGTTTCTGTTGGCTTCCATCTTTTCCTAGGAAATTCTAATCCCCTGGAGATTTTAAAGTTATGGATTCTTCTCACAGTCTTTATAAAAGGAAGAATTGTGCCACACTTGCAGGATTTCAACTACAAATTTCAACAATGACCGAGAATTATGTCGACTAGCCTGGAAAGACAGTGACTGCAATGTCTTAAGTTGGTCTTCCTATATATTTTTTGGAATTTTCACTGATAAAACAAACGATCAGGTAGCAACACTTCAAAACATGGTACAAAAATATCAGCCTTTCAAGGCTGGCCAGGAGATGGCACCTTCACAGAAAGAATAAACCCTCAGTTACTACAATTAAGAAACCATCTTACTCAGTAGCATTAAAAAATTTTTTAAATCTCACCATCGCAATTACAGAAACAATCTTCTTGGCCATTTCAGTTTCTTGAATACCTTGCTAATATCACTAAAATTGTTGCTTCCTAGAAATTATAATTATCCTTTTCCTTATCATCTTAAAAAAAAAAAACTAAAAAGTACTCCCCTACTCCCACCATTCTCTGCTTCACATCATGGTATGGCAAATAATTACTTAAGGCTTTCTGTGTGCCAGACACTGCGCTAAGCACTTCACGTATATTAACTCACTCAGCTGGCTTCCGCTTCTTACACATCTGCTCTAGTTGTGCGCTGGAGCTGGCTCCCACCAGCTATCAAGAACCAACTGTACATATCTCTTTGCAAGTCTGTGTCAGGTGACATCACATGGGTAGTTTGAAATTGGCCATTGAGGGAACATTTATACTACAGAAACTGGCAAATATCACAAATCAGGATTTGACCTTCCACCTCCCATGATCCAGTTGTTAAACATTTATTAGCTCACCACTGCTAATAACTAGTGACTATTCTGAATTCTTGAACTATTATATTAAACATATATGTGGTCATGATTTTCATGTCAGGATTTAGTAAACATGAGTTTATTGAAGTTTAATAGCACCTTATTTTGGGGAATAACGTTATTACTTGAGTATGGTTTATTATACTTTTTTAAAAAATCTCCTATAGCAGTTTAAGTATTTTCAAAAAGCAAGAATAAAATAAGATAAAACGAAATAAAGAACATATCTCTAGTTGTCTAGGTGAACTCCCTGTTTCCTAGCAGTCACTGTAACTCCATTAATGACAACTTTTGCAGAAGATTAAAAAGTCAATTTAATGCCCTAAAGCACTTCTGAATCACAGAACAAAGATTAAATTAGAATTGGCATAATTTTATTGCACTGTAGTGTATGTTGAATATTTGGAAACTGATCAATTGCATATGAATGCATGCTAATTTTCCAGGTACTAGAATGTTGAATTAACCAGATGACCTCATTTTCCTGACTGTGAAAAACTAGTTAACCTCACCAACTCAACAGATTGGGGAGGACTTCCTACACAGGTGGGAACAGTTTCATATTATTCTGTTCTTCCCTGAAAGGGTGGCGTTTGCGGATAAAATAGTTTTTGAAATGAATGTGCCTGCATAATAATGCTTATATCCAGTGAAAGTAGTAACCTACATACATTGTATACAATTATATCAAACTGACTCGTTTGAAAACTTGGGAAACATACCAGTCTCTGAGATATAGAATTTAGATTTAAATAGATTATTTTACTTTGCTAAAAACTATTAATATATCTAAACTTCATTAAAGATTGATATTCAGGTTCAAGTCTCTGGAGAATACATGATGAGCAGTATGGAAGAATGAGATGATGTAGACAAGACAGAGATGGTTGGTCCACAGGATGTCCAGAGAGAAGAGTATATCTGGATTTTTGTGGACTACTGCCAGCAAGGTTAAAACTTACTTTGCATACTGTGGAAAGCTATACACGAGTTCTTTCACATAAAGTAAGGAAATCTAATTTAGACTGTCTCTACAGTGAGAAGTTTTTCATAATAATGAAATCTGGCATAGTAACTTAACAATGCTTAGTAATTTAACAATACAAAGAGATAGTAAGACTAAAGCAGACAGATGAAACACTGATTCATATTTGAGTCCCATTGCATTCATTGTGCATTAACAATTATTTTCAGCATTTTCCGTAAGAGACTTGCAATCATTAATCTACCATAAAAACCCTCCTCATCCGATTTACCCCATATTCCTTACTTTTTTCAAGGACAATTTGTTTTTCTTACATCAAACTCAATAAGATACGGTTCTTAAATCACAAAATGCCACAGATTTGTTATAAAATATTCAACTTCACTGTCTATCCATGCATATATGTTAGTGTCTCGCGATACCTCATAAAAACTCAAGTGAGAGTTTAGCTTTATAGTTCCCTTTTCCAGGAAAAAAAGAGAAACATGTATATAAATTTAACAAAAGAGTTTCCAAACCAAAAGTGTTAACAGGAAAAAGAATATGAGCGATTGCACATTTAAATATAATCTTCCTAGTTTGGGGAACTCAGAAATCACTTAACATAATTTAATTTCCATTCCATTGACATATGATCTGGCCTAGATTGGAATCCCTCCTGGATCCATTTATATCCCAGATTGTACACAGACTGTCGTCTCCCTTAGACATGCATGACCACTAGATGGTGCTGTGGTGCCCTGTTCAAACACGTTCCACTTACTTGCAGTCTCGGTCCTCCAAATCAAAGTGAGGGTTGAAGTTGATCATAATTCTCTGGTATGGTTCGGGAGCCTGAATCAGCCATTCACATTTTTCACTTGGGTGATAAGAATGAGGATAACCAGGAGATGTAAGGTACCCGGGACTTTCAATTTTTATAGTATCGCCACATTTATCTGTAATAAAAATAACATTTAAGTAGATCTTTTCCTGACAACTAGTTAGGTATTCTAGTTTGTATTCAAATTACCGACTATTAAACATTCCACAATTTCTTAGGGGAACTCAACTCCGAGAGGCCCCTTGCAGGTCCTTCATGTGACGCTGACAGCAACACACCACCAAGGACCGCTCTTTGATCCCAGGAAGGCTGGCTCAAGAGGAAAGCGACTGAGCTCTGAAAGTACTCGACCCCCATCCCCCACAAACTTCTGTCCCAAGAAAAAGGTCTAATAGCATTAAAAACATTAAATCCCCTCAATGGATGTTAACATGGTCCTCAGGGAGCTTCTGCTAGACTTAATTATCCCCCAAGAAGTGTAATCACATTAAGTAGCAAGTTCTAAGTAGAAGGTGACTAAATGATGCCATTCGACCCCTTGTGTAGCTTTTGATGATAAGCCTGGTCTTTGTCATTGATCAGTGGAGATTGTCTTCCAAGACAAACCTTTTCTGTTGTTGTTTTATCTACCCATAAACCTGAGTGATTTTGAGTTATCTCTGCTCTTGAGATCCAGATGACATAGAACAATGTATATTTGGTGAAGCAGAAATAATTCTACTCTACTGCTCTAAGTTGCTCAGGCTTGGAGACCAGATCAAAGTAACTGGGCAGAAGGAAAAATAAATAGCCACACAGCATTGATTCCAATTACTAACACGTTGTGGGGGAGGTGGGGAAGGAAAGAGAAGAAAACCCACCACACTGAGGCCTGGTGTCACATATGGTAAGCCCCATTCTCACCTTCTGGGAAAGGTGAGCTAACTAGTTTTGAACCTTCATTTCAAAAATCCAAATGCTAAAGTGATTCACTAAGAGCCAAATAAACCAGTCTCTGAGTTGCTTTCTTGTTCAGCGTAGATTTTTATTGTCACTTTTTATGATAGATTTCACACTGGAGAGCCTCAGCCTGAAAAGCTGCCACATTTATTGGTGCTTAATTTTGAGCAATAAAAATTCAGTGTATAAACTATGTAAGAGGAACAGGTATGAAAGCAGTGAAATATGTAAGCCTATCAATCACAAATTTTCAGTAATGGTATATATAGATTTTAATATTGCATCTAATAGATTCCCTGTGGAAAGAGAATGGCATTCTTTGCTCTCAGCATGAATTTATAAATCTACAGAATTTTATTACAGGAAAACCAGGTCAAATGGAAATGAAAGATGAAGTGCACATCAAAAATGCATAAAGCTACATGCATTACAGAAATCATTTCCCATAAATTAAAAAGAAGACAATATAAATTATATTGTTTTTCTCAATTGCTAGGTGTTTCTGACTCTGTTTCTTAGAGCAGTAGTAGCCTCATTCTGGTTTCCTTTGCTTGGCTTTTAAAAGCTTAAGGTTTGCCAAGAAGAAATTATGTTGCAACTGGAGTTCAGAATCTCAGCTAATGATCATACTGGACTCTGTTGTGTGATTCTACTCAGGCTCTTGCATTATTTTAAATGTGCAGAGAACTTGGAAAGTGACCCCATCACATTAAGTCTCTTCCAGCTCTGCACGAACATCATGGCAGAGTCTGGCATCTGTTAGAGGAATGAAATAAAACAGCACTGCTTCTAGTCACTCGACAGAGTCACTTCAGAAGACATTTAGGTAGACTCAGTACCACACCAGAGCTCTTTAATCTGTGACTTCTGAGAAAGTGACAGTGTAATAAGATAATGTGGACTGCTAGACTCCCTGGCTCTGTTCAGTCTCTCTAGCAGTTGATTAAGAAAGAGCAATTTTTAATGACTCTGAACCATTAGCCCTAAATAAGGTTAATGAATTAATTTAGCAGACACTGGTACTCAGAGGAGGCGGACATGGCTTTAAGAGGTCTGCTGAGTTACAGAGGCTGTGGTCACTGCAAGCGTAACAACATGCTTTAACCAGTCAAGCTCACTAACTGAAGCTCAGGTTCTTAGCATTCCCCTGATTTCTGCTAAGAAAAGAAATTATGAATATATATATTCATATGCACATACACACACATATATATATACACATGCACACACACATATATGTGTGTGTATGTATTTATGGAGTTCACAACCTAAAGTCTGAAAGCTATTTGCATTAGGTTTCAAATCAATTCTCCAAACACCTCTGCTACTGATTTAATCTCAAGAGTTGAGGAGGGTGAGTTGCTGTAATTCTTAAAGTCTAACCACTTGAGCTCTTTCAGTTGGAGGAGAATGTTATTTCATCCCCTACCAGATTATAGAAATATGCCACCAACTCAGGTTCATTAATAAATTGAACTCCACATTCACAAATGAGTGTGTTTCTAAACCTATCTTTTAGAACACTGCTTGGTAGCCATGGGGTGAAATCTATTGCTTCTTAGAACACTGCATGGTAGCCATGGGGTGAAATCTATTGCTTCAATCACAAAATCTCCAAAAAGCATATTAGAGAGATTAACTTCCATCATAAAGACATGATTGAAATTCCTTAGTCTGAACTCCTTCCACTCGTGGTCTCTTATTAAAACAATATACTACAATAAGTAGTGGATGGTCTTTTCTTCTAATTACTTTGATTGAAATCTAAGCCAGATAAAAGTAAATATTTGATAATTAGTTAATAATAATTGCTGAAGACTTACTGTAAAGATAATTTCATACCCTTGCCTTCACCTAGTTCACAGGGTAAATGAAACATGCCTACGACCAAATAGCATTTTAAAACACATTAATTAGGTTACAGTATACTGTTTATAACGCAGCACAGTCTTTCATTTACTTAAGAGTGTAAAGCTAAGTGGAAGCTGCAGCTAGGTTAGGGATTTTCAGATATCCTGATGCCTTACACTGTATATATCAGGTTCCTTTATTGACACTATGTAACTTTCATTCATGCTTTCGACGGATTTGGGGATGATTTACAAAGGCGGAGGAGGAAGTTCCATCAACCAACAAACCACTATCTCTTGCAGGCACCCACCAGAGGAAATAGTTTTAGGGGAGCTGTAAGGGAACCAGGAAGTTCTCATGGTAAAGCGTTCATCAACTTTCCACAGCCATCAGATTTTTGAAAGGGAGTCTCATCTAATTGCCTTTGGGAGGAAACATTATTAAGATAATTGGTGTGCTGATATGCGAAGGTAGGCACGCTACCTTGTAACAGAGGTAGGAAAACCACCACAGCCAAACACCAACTTCAGGAGGGAGCCCGAGGACTTTAAATCTTCCTGCCCCACACAGACTGATCTTAGTTCTTTATTTCTCCGCCTGGATAAAAGTTTCCTTTGCCTGGGAAGTGGCTATTCCAGGTTCATCCCGGCAGCGCTGCATGAATCTTGGCTGAGCGGGAAGCCGAGCCCCGGCCGGATCCCGCAGCCGGGGAGTCCCCGGCGGGCGCTGTCACGCGCGCCTCCGCCTGTCACTTACCGTTGCGAAAAGCGCTGGCCGGCGCGAGGGCGAGGGCGAGGGCGAGCGCGGCGCAGAGGAGCGGCAGCCCCCTCTCCATTCTCCCTTCGCCGGATCCACGGGGAGACTCGGGAGAATGAGGACGTGCGGGCAAAACAGAGCAAAGAAGGGAATCTAAACGATCCGAAGCGCTCCAACTCCGCCTAGAGCTGTAAAATCCTCAGTCCGTCTTGTAGAAAGGAAAGCGGCGAGGCAATGCCTTGAACCGAGAGCAACGCTTCTCTTTTTGTGTCTCAAGTCGCCTGCATCCTGTCATTTAGCTCCGGTTTCCTCTCTCTTTTCCCACACTTGTTCCTTTTCCAGGAGCCACTGCCCGGGCCATGTCTCAAAAAGAAAGAAAGA